TTTAATGAAAAGGAACTGATAGTTACATTTAAAAGACTATTCTTCATAGTTAAAGAAAAATCGGCCGGCGCCGTGGCTCAATAGGCTAATCCTCCACCTTGCGGCGCCGGCACACCGGGTTCTAGTCCCGGTCGGGGCGCCGGATTCTGTCCCGGTTGCCCCTCTTCCAGGCCAGCTCTCTGCTGTGGCCAGGGAGTACAGTGGAGGATGGCCCAGGTGCTTGGGCCCTGCACCCCATGGGAGACCAGGAAAAGCACCTGGCTCCTGGCTCCTGCCATCGGATCAGCACGGTGCGCCGGCTGCAGCGGCGGCCATTGGAGGGTGAACCAACGGCAAAAGGAAGACCTTTCTCTCTGTCTCTCTCTCTCACTGTCCACTCTGCCTGTCAAAAAAAAAAAAAAAAACATAAAAAAAAAAAAAAAAAACATAAAGAAAAATCTAGAGTCCACTTATTGCTGGGAACAGAGGCTGAAAACCAAACCATCTTGAAGTTTCATAGTAAGTCCTTTCCTCCCAGCACTTCCTGTCCCTGCCCCCACCTCCAATAATCTAACAGACATATCTTACGAACTACTACGCATTCTTTTACACACATTATGTCAAGAAAAATCAGAACTTTTTTTCTTGCCTCCAGGCAAATATGAAGATATGTCATCATTACAATACTGAATGTCACCAGTAACATGACAGGACACAAAATATATTTTACAAAAATCTAGGAAATTTCTTTTCGCAAAACTTGGACTTTCTACAGTCACTAAAATAGTACAAAAATATTTAAACTAAACCTTACTAAACACTAGTTTAATTAAAACACTCGTTCAACTAAAAAAAGTTTTCAGTTTGTTAGAAATTCCAAAATGACCTTTAAATTCACATTTGCAACATTGTTTAAGCTAGTTTATAAAATCATGTTCCAGAACAAAACCCTGAGAAAACTTACAGAATTTATTACACTTAACTTATGAAAAAGAATGAAGCTAGTTTTATAAATTTATATATAATTATATATGATTTATATATATTATAAATTTATATATGTAAATTTTATGAAATTTTAATAGAGGTGTACCTAAAATATTTGCTGTGTGTAGAACGTTTATGGTTAGAAAGTCATATAGGTACACCCAGAACCACATTCCTGTAAACAATTCAAAATTATTTAGTATTTATTGTGCAATGGACTGTTCTGAAGAATTTTAACTACAGCTGAACATTAGGTCAACTGTAACAGAGTCATGGAAATAAATAATTATAATGCAAAGAGAAAGGTGCTTTGACATAGGGGTTCTGCAAGAGCACAAAGAACGAGGTAATCATGGGGCTGGCACTGTGGTATAGGAGGTAAAGCCACCGCCTGCAGTGGCAGCATCCCATGTGGGCACCAGTTCGAGTCCAGGCTGCTCCACTTCCAATCCAGCTCTCTGCTATGGCCTGGGAAAGCAGCAGAAGATGGCCCAAGTCCTTGGGCCCTTGCACCCATGTGGGAGACCCGGAAGAAGCTCCTGGCTTCAAATCGGTACAGTTCTGGCCTTTGCAGTCAACTGGGGAGTGAACCAGCAGATGGAAGACCTCTCTCTCTCTCTCTCTCTCTGCCTTTCCTTTCTCTAACTCTGACTTTCAAATAAATAAATAAATCTAAAAAAAAAAAAAAAAAAAAGGTGATCACACCAATGTCTTGTTCATTAAGTGCAACAGTACAATGTGCACTTGTTAATGGTGAAGTGTATAATCTTGCTGTACTTCTTTCTTCCTACTGATTGTACAAGCTGGAGCTCTGCTTCTTTCAATATTCTCTCACTCCCTTTCCAACTTAGCAAAACGCTGAACTACCAAGTTTCAAAACCAGGATTAGTGAAAGGAATGGTCTCTAGATTTTTCAGTAGATAGTAGTGATAAGAGAGGACAAGATGTTTCTGTTATTTGACTGATGTGTTTGTAAACTGAGCAACACTGCAGAAGCAGCAAAATCTGTCTAGAACATCTTCTAGTCTGAGGCTTGCCATATATAGCTGATACTCTATCTGCATTTGTGGACAGCCATCTTCTCAAATAGCAGGAATAAAGAAAGAACAAAGGGGAAAAGAACCTAAGGTTCCTATTTGGAAAATACACAGACACAGAATGCACACTGTGTAGTTAGTTATAGGAATGATCTCTGGAGGGTCTTCCATTTCCTGGGAGAGTGAATTCAAAGAACCTGCATATCAGCAATCCTGCCACCACCCCAACAGTAACAGCAGCAATTTTAAGAATCACAGCTTAAAGTTGAAGGGAGCATACGGTATATACTTCATAAATCTTCAGTCTCAAAGCATACTGAACCCTCAAACAAGGGAAGAGGGGGGTTACACAGAGGGGTTAGGTTGAGGCACAGAGGTTTGTGATTCATCCAGTAGCATGTCAGTATATTTTCCTGTACTGCAATCATAGGATTCTGTCTTTCCGGGTGTGAGCTTCAAGATCTTAAAAGTAAAAGAAGTCTAGACCACAATATATTGCCATCAAGTCTGCTAGTTCCAAGTCAACAGTAGTGCGGCTGCTGCCAACGATCCCTTGGCATACAGGCATGTTAAAAAGATACTGGCAGCAGTACCGGCTCTTCTCTTCCACTCTCTGCTGTTACTATAGTTCCTTTTGCTAAATCTGCCTCTGAGTTTAGACAGGAGCTGGATGGTTCATAATCACCCAGCAGCTGCAGCTGAGCAATACTCAGCCTAATTGTGGCACTGGAGCAGCTGAGAGGAAGAGAAGCGATAATACACACCCTACCATAGCTATACCCAAACTGCGGCACACACTACCAGTAAGACACCAAGATATTTTCATACGAACAGATTATTTCCTTTAAAGAAGAACTGTACCTCGCTAGAGGACTTGCATTTATATTTTAAGCTGGTTTAAAAGTGAACTGAAGGTGACCTAAGCCATGTAGGATTCTGAACAATGGAATATCTTAACTAAAACTTCCTGTAAATATTCACACAACAAAGCCAGTGCCACAAACATCACCTTCATAACATGACGGAAAGTTCCTGTGATATAAGAATTTGGCACAGATGTCATTTCTTCTTCAACTCTACATTATAATGATGCAAAGCAACAACATCAACAACAAAAACAGCAAGCCATTACATAAAGCAACTAAAGCAGTGTAATGCAGTGATTCTCTGCATTTCTGAAACTCCGAGACCATCATATGCCTTCTTTTGACACAAAACATAGCCCTCCTTCAGGTCCTTATCATCTTCATAAAGTTAAATTAAACCACTTTATGTGGATAATTTCATGACATTCCTGAGGATGTCAAAACCAATTCTGATATTATTGACTAAAGTACTGTTCTAGTGGACTAAAAATAGCAGAAAGTCAAGATTCTACCTTGATGCCGTAATTAAGTTTTGATTTTTGTCATGTCCCATCATTCTCTAAAAATCTGGAAATTTGATGACAAGACAGTATTCAATCAAAAAGTTCTTAATCCACGTATCTTATATAGTAAATCACATCAGGCTTCTTGAAAAAGAAGTTTCTTGTAGAATGAAACAGACTAGAAAAGCACACAAAGCAAGTGTATGGCTTAATGAATTCTACCAAAGCAACACCCTTCCAACCACCATCAGATTAACAGAACTTTGCCACTACTTCAATCACAGCCTCCTCCCTCCTCCTATATCTTGACTATTATAGAAATTACTTCCTTGCACACTTTTCAAATATATATGGCTAATTATCACTCAAATGTGCATTTTTAGACTTTAGAGCTTACCAGGATTCCTAACAGAATAAATGATGCCTACACTGATTTGACTTACTAAACTGAGAGCTAAATAAATTAGGAAAGAATAATTACCCTTAGTAATAAATGATGCATATCTGAACTTTGAATAAAGTCTCATATCATAGGTTGGTAATATTTTATTATTACGGGTCATTGCTATTGTTTCAGCATATTTATTCTTTTATCATTATACACCATGAAAAGAGCTTTGTGTGCATAGCAATTGATTTTTCAGCATCAGAATTTTCCTGAACTATAAAAAAAAATCCTAGAACATGTATTAATATTACACTTTGACCATAAGACAAATTCCACCTATCCCAGGAAGATAGGTCAAGGCTGTAATTTCACTTTCAGTTAAACAGAAAGGAGTCAATTTTGTGGTTTATGAAGTCAGCAAAAACTAACTGCAAAATTAAAGCTATTATAACATTACGGTGGTTACAGCATAGCACATATTTTAAAAGTCCTTTTATCTTTTATCCTGGAAATATGAATACGAACTCTTATATTAAATTCAAGTCAAGGCAATTTTTTTTAATTAAGGACCCTCTGAATTGTCAACGAGCATTTTAAATTCTCCACTGAGATTTAGCTAGTGTCCAAAAATTAAAATACAATTAAACCTCCTTTTCTTAAACGTCAACTATGGCAAAAGTCTCACGGATTTATAAGGAAAAAAAACATAGTGAAATGCAACTTTCTTACAGTAAAATATATGAAAAGCATACAAGATCAGTGTCTTCTAAAACAAGACGCTCCTTATTATCTGTCTTTTCAAAATGTTTCCTGTTCACTCTGAGCCAAGTATTGTGCTAGCTAAGACAGATTTACCATGCATTTAAACGCATACAAAGTCACATGTCCACACTCAGTATTTCTTAGTGTGCAATTTAACTTCAGACACTTAATAAAGTGGATTAAACACACTTAACATTAACAAAATCCCCTTGACATTGTGATCCTACAAGTTACAATGCGCAAATATTCTACAATCACATCACACAATGGTGAAATCACCCATGTGAAACACACACACCAGTGGAACGCATCCACGTAACAGACGGCAGGGACACAAAGTTGTGGTTCCACCAGAGCCTTTTCACTTACCTACTTTAACAACTTGTAAGTTAGTAGACCGTGTGCTACTCCGTGCCTGTTTCAATTAAGTATTCTGAAAATAATCCTCCCAGTCCGAACTACGCTGTATCCCACTCACCTCAAAACAAAAACTAAAGCAGTCCCGACAACCGGACTTGATATTCAAAGAGCTTCTGAAACCAACTCCGTCCCGTGCCCAACAGAGAGCAAAAGCTGGAAGCAATTATCCAGAGGAAAAACACGCTTTACGACAAAATTCGCTTTAACGCACGAGGACAGAGATCGGAACCGAGAGAGGGGAGGAGTGGAATGATAAAAGTGGACGCTGAATGGCAAATGTCCCAACCCCCAATCCAAAACAAAGGAAAACTTCAACATGTTGCGGTTTTCAATCAAACCCAGCGAAGCCCCTCGCCCTCGCCCCGCACACTTGCCCCCGGCACCAGGCGACACACACTCGCCCGGCCTCTGGGACCCGGAGGGGCCGCGTCCCTAGCCCCCAACTCCGGCAGCGGGGTAAAAACAAACCTAGCCCCCCTCCACCTCGCCGGGTGGCCCCACGACCTTCAAAGCCGGGGTGTGGGGTTGTCCCAGCGCCCTGAGGACCCCAAGTCGGACCTGGGCGGGACCGGGAAGGACAGGACGGGGCGGAGACCGAGTCAGGGGGCGAGCAGGTAGCGCCGGGAAGGAGACACACCCGCCGGGCGAGCCGGGCCGGGGGAGGGGAGAAGTTTCTCCCGAACTTCCCGACTCGGAGCCGCGGGGGCGGGAAGCGGCGGCGGGGGGGCGGCGGCGCCTCAGGGAGAGCGGACGGGCGCCGGGGCCTAGCGCTGTCCGGGCCGGGGTCGACCGCTTCCGCCCCGGATCCCCGCTGGGTGCTTACCTGCCCTCCGGCCGCGCTCTCATGAGGCGCTGCGGCCGCAGCTCCGGGTAGTGGGGAAAGGGCGGCGGACGGAGGCGAGGCCCGCGGGGCCCGCTCCCTCCTCCACCTCCAAGTCCTGGGGCGCCCGGCGGCAGCGACGGCGACAGAGGCGGCCCGGGACTCGTTACTTGAGGAGGAGGGAATTCCCGGGCTCCCCAACCCGTCCGCCTCACTCCCCGCCGCCTCCCCTCCCGGCTCCGCCCACTCCACTCCTCGGCGGGCGCGGGGGCGGGCACGGGGGCGGGGGCTGCGGCTACCTGCGCGCACCGCCGCGCGCTCACCGGAACTCGCGCCCGGCTCGAGCGCCTCCCCCCACCTTCCGGCGCCGGAGCCCACCGCCCGTCGGCGGGCTGCGGGCCGCCCCGCCGCGAGCCGGGTCGGCTGCGAGTCCGAGTCACTTCCCTCGACCCAACATGGCGGCGCGGTCCGGGGCGGATTCCCGAGGCGGCGCAGGCTGAGGGGGCGTGAGGCGGGGGAGGCGCCTCTTCACCCGCAGAGCAGGCCCGCAGCGGCCCCGTCCACTCCCGCGCCTGCCAGCCCCGGCGACTTGAATGGGGCGCGCAGATCCCGCCCCTCCGCCCTTGTTTCTGCTTGCCCCGCTGGCGGCGGGGCCAAGGGGCTCGTGTCTGGGAGCACGGGGTTAGTTGGGGGGGTTGGCTGTTTGCTTGTCAGTACCGTGCTTCCGCACCCTTTGTGTTGATAGTAAAATCTCAGCCCAGCCGCGGGAGCGGGGGGCGTTCCCTACACCCTCATCACCAGCCTTGGTAGCCATCCCAAAACCTTCACGTCTGGCCTCCTTCCGAGGCCGGGATCCTGTCCCTGCCCCGGGAGCTTCCTGTTGACTGTGGGTCGAACCAGCCTTGCCAGGAGGGAAGGGAAGCTGAAGCCGAGTTCTGCTGGCGACTGTCCCAGTAATGGTGGCTTTGGCTTATCTTGGGACGACGAGTTCATCGTATTTGATCCTGGCAACGCCCTAGTGAGAGAACTGGAGCAGGTGTTGTTATCTCATTGGCAGCTGTGGAAACAGGCTGCAACCCCAAAAGTGGAGCAGCCACTAGTAGGCTCTGAATCCATGCACCTTGCTCAGTCCCCGAAAGAGAAAGGGCTGCATCCCCAAGGAACTGGTCAGGGTCAGAATGGGCTGAACCTTGAGGCTTTTTTGCTAAAGTCACCATTGCCCTGTCAGAGTAATTTCCTCTTTTTATTTCCTCTTTGGTGGGGTTATCAGAATTATTGATGTGGGGCTGTTGGTTTCCTTCTGTTTGCGGTTTTTGGCGACATTCAGACTCATTTTCAACAGCTACGAAATAAAAGTAATCCGTGTCAGTAGTCTCTGGTTTTCTAGGAACTTCTGGGGGGAAAAAAAAAATCTTCAGTTCTCTAAATGAGCCAAAAGTAGGCATAAGCATATACATTAACCAAAAGGTACCCATGATGTGGAGGAATGCTGTATTTACCTATTAAACTTTCATTTGCCATGGACTATCTTGGGCACTAAACATTTTGTGAAGACTTATATTGAGCTTTCCTTAAAACTAAATTTCTTGGGATGTTGCCCTTCTAAATTTCTAAGTAATATAGAGATAATGTTTTTTGTTTCCTAAAGTCTCAATTTCAAAAATTAAGGGCTGAAGTAACCTTGAAGATGAAATTTTAAGTGTGGTGAGGGTATGAAAATCACCTGTCATTTACAACAAGTTACACGTACTTAGTGGAGTTTGCATTCTTCCCTCCTCATCGTTTTCTTTTTTTGAGATGTTCATCATCAAGTGCCAAGCTGCAGTCTGTAAATAACCTGCAAAGTTTTCCATCTTACAACTAATGACTTATTTCCAGAAATACTTAAACCGTTTTTTAAAAATGCGAGGGAGGCAGGCATTTGGCACAGTGGTTAAGCTGCCGCTTGGACACCGGCATTCCATATTGGACTGCCTGGGTTTTGGTCCCAACTTTGCCGTCCATTCCAGCTTCCTGCTAATATGCACTCCCCAGGGACAGCGGGTGATGGTGCAAGTAGTTGGGTACCTGTCAACTACATGAGATACCTGGGTTGAGTTTGCCGTTTGGGGAATGAACCAGTGGTTGGAAGAGCTCTCGCTCTCTTTTCTCTGCCTTTCAAATATTTCTTTAAGAGAATTTGGATAGTCTCACCGAGTTTGGTTAATGAAAAATACTTTTAACTGAAAATCTGTTTATTTGTGAAAGGAACAAATGAAGAAGTTTGTCCCTGTATTGCCCTCCTGCAGAGCCTAGAGGTCTGGTATGTGTGTATCTGTGATAAGGGATGTTAAGTCTAAACCCCTGGGAAGGTCTGCTGGATGAAAAACCTAAGGGAAGGCTTTAAACGAAATTTAAGAGATGTGTCAGTCAGGTCCCTCTAAAAGTCAAATATTTTCCTTTAAGTTTCTTGTTGCTTAACATTCTTGGCTGGAAATTTGAAAGATTGAAAGTGGAGCTGGAGCCCATTCATTTTCACTCTGGAACCTGTGATTTGCCAAGAAATGTCTTGGTTGAGGAAAAGCCTCTCATATGTGCTGTCAGTGATATACTGCTGCTGTTGCCGCTGCCACCGCCGTGACTGAAGTTGTGGTGACGACTTTCTTTTTCTGCTTGACTCTACACAAGGTGCAACCACTGCTTCTGCGCTCTACCATCACCTCTCTCAAAATGCCTCCTACCGTCCAGCAACTGGATCTCCTGAGTCCACTGAGTGCATGAAGTTATCAGCACCACCTTGGCCTTGCCTCATCCACTTGGCCAAGACTGCTAGGCGCAGTTAGGAAGAATATGAGTACCCTCCTGAGCAAAGATTTGAAGGAACAAGCAAAAGGAAGGTATTTCTTCTGGAGTGGTAGATTCTTTGTGCCATGCTCAATGAGAAGGCAATGTAACCCATTTATTTTTCATGCTATTGATGTTTCCATTGCCTAAAGAACTGGGAGGTTTATGTATGAGTTTTAACTTCTCAACCAAGCAAAGGTGATCTAAGACAGGCAAATCAATTGATATATATCTCCAACAATGAATAGAGGTTGACCAAACCACCAGTGAATAGCTATCACAAATGGCAGTCTTACATGAACTTCAGTAAACCTACCAAATCTTTGCTCTCTTTTGTTGTTTTATCAACCTTAATACTTCTTGGCTACCTAAGTCTGCAATCTTAGAACTTCACCTTGTACTTGCTGTGCTTCCCGTGCCTGCCCAGCCCAGGACTATTTTCTGGCAGTTTAGTCTTTGCTGTTGGAATCAGCTTTGTGGTCATGGCTTCATTTATTTCTGTGACTTTACTTCTTCCTAGTTCTGTAGTTTGGCCCCAGACCTGTTATATCTGCCAAAGTCCATGGTTTCAGCTCTAGCTCCTGGTACCAACTCTGCATCTTTGTAGGCAGCCTTACCTTACAGCTTCAAACTTTCCCAGTCTCACCTTGGTTCTTCATTGTGTTCTGTGACAGCATTTTCTAAATGAATGGGTACTTGTAGCCTCTCACCTGCCCTCTGCTGAGCAGAATGTAGCAGCAGTGCACATATTTGAGAGTGCCGGTTTTACTCAAGTTGTTTAAGAGTGCTGGGGCATGGGCCTGTGAGTATCGCTAATCTCAGACTCCAGACTGGAATTTTGAATGTTGCCTCTTAAAGATTATTCATGGTGGCTGTGGAGGAGTTGAGAGTCACGTGGCAAAGGGTGAGTGTCCAGAGGTAGAAGGGTCCAGAAGCGACAGGCAGCAGGTTTCCAGTGCTAGTGGTGCCTGCTTGCAGCCTGAGCAGATGGTGACTTTGCCTCACCTTCCTTGTTTTGTGCCTGAGCCTGCTCTTCTTACCTTCCTATCTACTTTCTCAGCTTCCTCCAATTAATTCCCTTTCTTCTTAAACAGAACAGGGATAGACTTTGAAAGAACAGACTTTGAAAATAGGAACTACCACTTATCTGTACTGCTAACAATAAAGTCACTTTGTGAGGGTGGCTCTCCTGCCACTGCACAGAGTCCGGGGTAGAGTGGGGAGCTGGTTTTCACAACAAAGGATGAAGCAAATAAATGGCCAGACACTGAAATGAGATCGTTAAGACCCCAGTGCTGACTCTTGTGCCTTGTGCCACGTGTAAGGTGCTAAGCCTAGAAGAGATTTGACAGGACAATCCCTCCTCCTGCCTGTCTGTGGCAGTCATGGCTTTAGATCATGGTATACTGTACCCTCTTTTTCCCAGATCATGAAATATATCTTCAGAATCCTTCTCAACAAACAATTTAGGCAGCAGCTGTCCCAAAATTAGAGTTAGAATATATTGAAAACCATTTGATATTGCTACCTTTCAGGCTTATAATTTCCTCCTGAATCCTATATTTGCAATTCGTGTGGCTATATCCAAGTGTTTGGCCTATACTTTTATAAAATGTTAAGCTGATGTGTATGTCAGTGTCTCTGACACTGAGTTTAAACACTACTAAAATTGCTACCAGATTGCTTCTTCCTGGGGATATTTACAAATGGGTTATGAAAAGTAGAACACAACTTTGCTTGAAGGCAAGAAGTTAGAGTGTTTACCTGCACTGAACATTTAGTAAAGAAACTATAGATCCGGCTCTTATGGCTAAATCTTAAGGTAGATCATGAAATGTAAAAAGTTGACATTAATGAGCTTTTTTAAATTTTTGGTTTTTAAAAGGTTTTATTTTATTTATTTGAAAGACAGAAAGAGAAACACAGATGAGTTTCCATCTGCTTGTTCACTCCCCAGATGCCTGTGACAGCCAGGGCTGAGCTGAGGCCAAAGCCAGGAGACAGACACAGTCTGGGTCTCCCACCTGGGTGGCAGGGACCCAGCTACTTGGACTATCACCTGCTGCTTCCCAGGGT